TTCTTCTCTTCTGCAGACTAAACAATCCCAGTTCCCTCAGCCTCTCCTCATAAGTCATGTGCTCCAGACCCCTAATCATTTTTGTTGCCCTCCGCTGGACTCTTTCCCATTTTTCCACATCCTTCTTGTAGTGTGGGGCCCAAAACTGGACACAGTACTCCAGATGAGGCCTCACCAATGTCGAATAGAGGGGAATGATCACGTTCCTCGATCTGCTGGCAATGCCCCTACTTATACAGCCCAAAATGCCGTTAGCCTTCTTGGCAACAAGGGCACACTGTTAACTCATATCCAGCTTCTCGTCCACTGTGACCCCTAGGGTTTATTTTCCATGATAAAGGCCAGTTCCTGTTTCATGGGAGGCCAGCGGCCAGGTGCTGCCTTGGCCTGTGTGGCCTCACACCAGGCCCTGGCCCAGGACTCGCTCTGCAGCATGGAGGCCCTTGTGGGCGCTCAGATACCCTGCAGCTCCTGGCCTGGCTTTGCTCACTCTTGGGCCCGCGGTTCAGGACGTGACGAGGACGTCCCCCGGCCGCAGCCACTTCCGTGCATCTTTCAGCTGCCTTTTCTCGCAGCCCTGCTCTTCTCCTGGGCGACTGGCTGTGGAGTTGGGAGTGCCAGCGCCGAAAGCAGGAACTGCTCGCGGGAAAACCCACCATGCACAGCACGGCCTGGCCAAGAGCTGCCCGGGCAGGACTCCGGCGTGCCACCCGGGCTCAGGGGCCACAGCCTGCGTGGGAACAGGCACAAGGCACTGCCTGGGGCACCCCGGCCTTGCAGCACCTCCAGATCCAGATTTTACCCAGAATCCCTTGGAAACGGTTCCCAAAGGGGCTGTAGTGGGCATCAGCTGGAACCAGGCCCTGGGTGAGATCGGCTTGGGGAGGGGCAGAGCCAGTCTGAGCCCCCGGTGTGTGCCAAGCATGTTATCAAATGTGACTGTGTTGGGGGTGTCCCTACATCTCTGGCTCCCCTTGCTGGGGCCACTACCCCACAGTGGAGCCCCGTGAGCCCAGCAATTCTCCGGCCAGCGGAGTACACGGGGATGTCCCAGCACTTGGGAGAATCGGCTCTTAACAGCGAGCAGGTTTCACCCGTCACCATAGTGCAGCACCAAGAGTGACTGGAGAGTCCTGTGAGCCGCTCTTTGAACTTGCCAGCTATTGCCTCAACCACTTCCTGTGGCAGCGAGTTCCACAGGCTAATTATGCAGCATGTAACCAATCTTTCCTTGTATCAGCTCTGAATTTCCCCCTTTGAACGTCCTTGACGGTCCCTTAGGCTTGGCCTGTGGGGCTGGGAGAGCAGAATCTGCCTTTTCTGAGCATCCTGGTTTTAGAGCTTTGTAGCACATCCCTTCTCTGTCCCCCTGGAAGGCAACAAGCCCAGTTGTCTGTCTGTGCACAGCAGAGGTTTTCCAGCCCGTGTTGCCCTCTGCTGACCCTCCCACTCTGCGCTCTCCTTGGCAGGGGAGGGCCCCACACTGCACACAGGGTGTCTGGATTATTCACCACCTCCTTTCTTGTGCGACCCAACGCTGGGCTCTGTGCCCCGGGTGCTCCCTGCCCCCATGGGGGGCTGGGACAATGCACAGCTGGGAGGTGCCTGGTGCCGCGGGTGGGAGGCTCTGGAGGGGCTGCCGGTGCAGTGAGAGGAACCAGCGACCCAGCTCCATGGGAAAGAGGCCAGGGCCAAGGCTAGGGCTGTAAATCTGTCCGGCACCTGGACAGCGTCCCGCTCACTAACGAGGCTGCCTTCTCCTCCGCTCAGCTGCTCTGCCAGAGGAGGGGGGTCCGTCCCTGCACAGCTGGGGCCTGGCGAGTGCTCCCCCCGCAGCCCGCCCTGCGTGCCCCTGGCTCTCAGCAAGGAGATACAGCGCCCCTGGGAGCAGGGCCGCGGGGCCCCTCACTGGGGCTGGCTGGATGCAGCTGCCCCGGGCAGCTGGTCTCCCCGTCCCTGGGCTGGGCCAGGGGCCTGGACGAATGGATGGATGGATAGACAGGGCCAAGGGGCCGTGCCACTGCACCGTGTGACCCTGCAGAGCAGATGGGGAGGGACCTGAGTGCTGCAGGGTGTTGGGGGGGGGCGGGGGTTGGCGCTTCAGCCTCTGGCAGCTGGAGCCCGCCTAGGGGCCAGGACAAATCACCCCCCATTCATGTCTGGAGAGGGGTTGCCCTCAGCCGCGGGGTCAGTTCCTGCACCTTCGCTCCCTGCACGAGACCCCCCACCCCTCGCGATGGCCCTGCCCCTCCGCCACGGCGCTGCCCTGTGCATGCAGCGACCCCCCCCCCGCATGGCCCTCCCCCACGGCCCTGCCCTGTGCATGCAGCGACCCACCCCCCGCATGGCCCTCCCCCACGGCCCTGCCGTGTGCATGCAGCAACCCACCCCCCTTGGCCTTGGCCCTGCCCCTCCCCCATGGTCCTGCCCTGTGCATGCAGCAACCCACCCCCCGCATGGACCTCCCCTATGGCCCTGCCCTGTGCATGCAGCAACCCACCCCCCGCATGGCCCTCCCCCACGGCCGCTGCCCTGTGCATGCAGCAACCCACCCCCCTTGGCCCTGCCCCATGGCCCTGCCCTGTGCATGCAGCAACCCACCCCCCTTGGCCCTGCCCCATGGCCCTGCCCTGTGCATGCAGCGACCCACCTCCCCGCATGGCCCTGCCCTGGGGTTACCGCATGGCCGGGATTTGACCAGCCTGGCCCCAGTTTTTAGGGATTTGCAGTTGCCAGAAAAAGACCGGCCTGTGCCAGGCAGTTTGACATGGGGCCGAAGCAGGGTTCTGAACGGGGGTCGTGAGCTGGGAGCCCCCCCCGGCCAGGCGCGGGACAGCGAGGTTTGGGTATTTGGTGTCTGGGGGGGTTGGGCGCACTCAGAGGCTTCCTGTGTCAATACAGAACATTTGAGAAGCGCCGGGCTGCAGCGCTGTGTCTCCCCGTGCGCCGGGCTGCAGCGCTGTGTCTCCCCGTGCGCCGGGCTGCAGCGTTGTGTCTCCCCGTGCGCCGGGCTGCAGCGTTGTGTCTCCCCGGGCGCCGGGCTGCAGCGCTGTGTCTCCCCGTGTGCCGGGCTGCAGTGTTGTGTCTCCCCGTGTGCCGGGCTGCAGTGCTGTGTCTCCCCGTGTGCCGGGCTGGCCAACGTGCATCGTCTGGGTCCGCAGGGCCGGTGATGCCAGCGCTGAGTGTGGGACAGACAGTGGCCGTGTGGGGTCGAGTCACGCGTAGGGTGACCAGATGTCCCGATTTTATAGGGACAGTCCCGATTTTTGGGTCTTTTTCTTATATAGGGTCCTATTACCCCCCATCCCCTGTCCTGATTTTTCACACATGCTGTCTGGTCACCCTAGTCACGCGCGTGAGGTGCCGTGCGACATGCTCTCAGTCGTGTCGAGCTGAGTTACCGCGCTAGGTGCTAGGCGTGGCTGCTGGGGGAGGGGCGGGGTTCCCTGCTGGGGCTGGGTTTTTTTGCAGCTCAAAGGTGGTAACCCTACCTGCCCCACCCCTCCCCCACAGCCGTGCCCCTGTGCTGCCCCAGGGCGGGGGGGGGGTCCCTGGCTGATCCCGAGGGCCCGGCCCCCCCCGGCTCCAGCCCAGCAAGGGCTCTGCTCCCCACTCCACACGGGAGCCCCTGACTGGGCCAGGGCTGTGCTAGGAACCACAGCAAGGGCCATGCGGGGTGGGGGGTGGGAGAACAGCTGGAGGTGGGGGGAGGGGGCCTCTTCCTGCCCAACAGATAAGAGCCCCCAGTGTATTTGCAGCCTGGCTGTTCCAGGGCAGCGAGGGGGGTGGGGGGGCTGGGAGCACAGCTGGGGGGGACAGAACAGCTCCAAGGCAAGGCAGAGAGAAAGGCTGGGCTGGGGGCGGGGGGAACACCCAGCTGCCCCTCAGAGGGGGCCTGGCCCCAGCTGACAGCACAGGGTGTGGCTGGACACGGGCCGCGGGGGGCAGGTGCAGGACTGAGGGGAGCCCCCGCCCCACAGGGAGAGCCTTAGGAGTGCTCAGCATGGGCCGGCTAGAAGGGGGGGGTCTTGCAGGCTGGGGGGGCTGGATTGGCTTGGCCCTGTTGTGCTGGTTCTGCATGCACTGGGGGGGGCTCAGGCTCACAGAGACGCTGAAAGGGGAGGGGGCTGACACCGACCCACAGGAATGTGCCATGCACAGCAGGCGGGGCAGGGCAGAGCCTGGCACTCGCTCACCCCCACCCCGGGGCAGCTCAGTGAGGCTGGCAGAAGCAGGCGCGGCCCTTCCACGTCACAGAATCACCGGCCTGGAGGGCCCTCGAGAGTCCCCGAGTCCCTGCACTCAGGGCTGGACTCAGGACTAGCTCAGGGGTTCTCACAACACGTTTTGGTGGCCTCAGCGTGCGGCCACCAACGCTTGCTGCTGCCGCCTGACAATTGTTCCTGAAAGAATTCACGTGAGGAGAAACAAGCAAATATGCACAGAGATGTGTCCAAATCTCAGTCATGTATTTAGAGGGGGTGTTTTTTGCTGACTCAGTAAGAAAAATAACGTACGTGTCTCTGGTCTTGACTGGCTCTGAACAGAATCGACACGGATAAGGTGCTTTGCACACGCTTGTCTTTTTTGTTGTTCTTTCTTTTGCTTTGTTGTTGGTTTAGATTTGCCGGCTAGTAACTCTGCTGCTGGGAAAAGTGATATGAACAGAGAAATATCCCTTTTCCCAGCAGATGTACTCAGCCCCAGGAAGGGGGGACAAATTAAGCCTGGGATGGGGGGCAGGTAGGGAGGCCGATGGGGAGGTAGTGAGCCGGGGGGATGCAGCACAATGCCCTGCGCCTGGGGGCGGAAGTCTGACTCCAACGCCTCTGGGAAGGTGGGGAACTCAGTGGCTGCCTGCTCCTCCAGTGTTTGTCAGGGTCCAACCCCTGCTCCGGGCTCTTGGGGAGAGGCCACTGCTTGCCCCCCCCCAACCACCACCCAGGAGGCTGTGGCCACAAGAAAAGCCCCTGGTGGCCTTATGCAGCCACGTTGGCCGCATTTGAGAAACTAGACCATCCCTGACAGGTGTTTCTCCAACTTGTTCTTAAAAATCTCCAACGACGGAGATTTCACAACCTCCCGAGGGAATTTATTCCAGTGCTTAACCACCCTGACAGTTAGGAAGTTTTTCCTAATGTCCAACCTGAACCGCCCTGACAACAATTTAAGCCCATTGCTTCTTGTCCTGTCCTCAGAGGTTAAGAACAATTTTTCTTCCTCCTCCTTCTAACAACCTTTTACGTACTTGAAAACTGTGATCATGTCCCCTCTCAGGCTTCTCTTCTCCAGACTAAACAAACCCAATTTTTTCAATCTTCCCTCATAGGTCATGTTTTCTAGACCTTTAATCATTTTCGTTGCTCTTCTCTGGACTTTCTGCAATTTGTCCACATCTTTCCTGAAATGTGGCGCCCAGAACTGGACACAATACTCCAGTTGAGGCCTAATCAGTACAGAGTAGAGCGGAAGAATTAATTATTGTGTCTTGCTTACAACACTCCTGTTAATACATCCCAGAATTATTTTCACTTTTTTTGCAACAGCGTCACACTGTTGACTCATAGCTTGTGGTCCACTATAACCCCTAGATCCCTTTCCGCAGGACTCCTTCCTAGACAGTCTCTTCCCATTCTGTGTGTATGCAACTGATTGTTCCTTCCTAAGTGGAGCACTTTGCATTTGTCCTTATTCAATTTCATCCTAGTTACCTCAGACCATTTCTCCAGTTTGTTCAAATTTGCCCTTTTCCAGTCTTCTGGAATTTCTCCTATCTTCCAGGACTTCTCAAAGATAATCGCTAATGGCTCAGATATCTCCTCAGTCAGCTCCTTGAGTATTCTAGGATGCATTTCATCAGGCCCTGGTGACTTGAAAGCATCGAAGGGCACTAGCAGTGATAAGTGTGTGGTCACAGCAGAGCGGAGGGAGAGCGCTCTCCCAGCGCTGTAAAAAACCTAGCTCCACGAGCGGCGCGGCTCCCAGCACTGGGGCACTGGCTACACTGGCGCTGAAACTTGCCGTGCTCAGGGGGGTGTTTTTTCACACCCCTGAGCGAGGAACTTGCAGTGCTGTAAAGTGCCAGTGTAGACAAGGCCTAACTTGTCTAAGTAATTTTTGATTTGTTCTTTCCCTATGTTAGCCTCTGACCCTACCTCATTTTCACAGGCATTCGCTATGTTAGACATCCAATCGCCACCAACCTTCTGGGTGAAAACCGAACCAAAGACGTCATTAACACCGCTGCCATTTCCCCACTGTCTGTAATTGCTTCCCCCCTCGTTGAGTAACGGGCCTGCCCCGCCGTCCTTGAGCTTCCTCTCGCTTCCACCGTATTTGGAGAATGTTCCTTGTTCCCTTGTGGCTTGTGAAAGTGAAATGAATTATATTAAAGAAATAGAATGAATTAAAGAATGCTGTATGTGCCTTTAAGTAGAAATGAGAAATGCTGCAAGCCAGGGGGCAGGAAAGCAGACATTAACTGCTTAATGAATTGCCCCACTTAAGGGCAATTGGTGAAGCATTAGCCTTAGATTGATGAGAGTTAATAAGGAAGCAGGTTATGCATATTGTGCCCTATGCAAATTTTACAGTTTTGCTCTCTCTGTCCCTTTGTTTAGTTCACACCCTTTTATCTGTATAAATAAGACTGTTTGAATCTTGCAGGGGGGCTCACATTATCTGAATGTATTAGCAGAGCGCTGTGCTAATAAAACAGAGTGGTCTAACAAACTGAGTCCTGAGTCTAACTTTCACAGGCTCGAGCTGGTTTAATCTCGTTTTCTGCCTGGGCGCTACCTGCTCGTGTTGTTTTTCAGCAACATTTTCTGCAGGTCATTTAGGTCCCGTCTTACCCCCGACCCCCTGGGCCTGGCTCATCCCCCTTGCAGCCCACACCCCCGGGTAGTGCTGGCCAGGTCATTTTAAATGCAGCAGGTGATGCCCCCCCCCATAAGCCCAGCTCCCAACTCTGCCCCCCACTTTTAAGGAGCCAGCCCCCCGGGCTTTCTGCCATGCCTGGCGCTGCAGCCCTGGTCCAGGAACAGGGCAGGGACTGGAGCGAGCCGAGGCCCCCATCAGAGCCGCGACTGACTCCTCCTGCCGCTTGGGGCGTCCCGCCCAGCCCGGGACAGTCAGAGGCTGGGGAGCAGGCGGGGAGGCAAAGCCACAGAGCCAGCCCCATCCCACACCGCTGGGCTTGCCCGGCTCCAGGCAGCCTCTGCCCGTGCTGACCAGCAGCATTGGGCCCTGCTGCACGGGCCCAAAGGCGACCAGGTGGGTGCTGACTGCAGAGCCGGAGGGGTCAGCCAGGGTCCCGCCTGTCGGAGCTGGGCCCAGCCCTGGTAGCCCCGTGCCAGGAACACCCCCAGTGGCTGTAGCTGCCTTCCTGGCCCGCGGGCTGGTGCGTGTGCAGCAATTCTGGCCGATGCCCGTGGCTTGGAGGTGCCCCAGGCCTGAGCGCCCACGCTGGGGGCCAGAGCTGCCCCATCCTGCCCAGCCCCTGCTGGGTCTTGGGCCGGGGGAAGGGGTCCCTTTCCCTGCAGGCGGGTGGGGAGGGGGCTCCGCAGAGCAGGGCCCAGACACCACACGGCAGCGTAATCGCAGAGAATCACTTTACTGAGACAACAGCCCCCGGTACTGGGGGCAAGAGACAATTAACGAACAATTAGAACAACTTGTTGAACAGAATCAGGGAAGGGCCCCAGAGGGCAGGAATGGGGGGGCTGTGAGGGGCTGCAAGCAGGGGGCAGGGATGGGGTGGGGGGTCTGAGAACAGGGGGACTGGCTGTGGGGGGCTGCCAGCAGGGGGCAGGGATGGGGTGGTCTGAGAACAGGGGGCACTGGCAGTGGGCTGTGAGCGGGGGGACTGTCTGTGGGGGGGCTGCCAGCAGGGGGCACCATTGCAAATTGTAGCTGTGGCCCTGTGTACCCCCACCGGCATGCACCAGCCCCAGCCTCCTGCCTGGGGCAACTGGGAGCAGCCAGCAGCCTATACAGCCACGCGTCAGAACCAATCTACCCCCAGCACAGTCACTGCCCCCCGGGGAATGTGGGGGGCACAGGCTGGGCTCTGCACCAGGGCGAAGGGGAGCCCAAGGCGGTGCAGCACCAGGACTCCAAGCCCGGCTAACGGCCCAGGTGACAAGGGCAGCCCCGCAGCCCCCAGGAATGCAGCTGGTCCATCATCTCCACCTGCAACTGGAGCAGGGGCCTGAGCAAACTACAGCTCCCAGCATGCAGTGCAGCGCCTGGCATGGTGCAAACCGGGCACCGGGGGCCACCACACCCTGTGAGGCTGCAGTGCAGAATCCCACGGCCAGAGCGGGAGGTGCTGCCCCGGGCTGGGCCCAGGGGCAGGTTCCCAGCCTCGCTCCCCCCTGTCATGAGCTGACCTGAGCCCAGGGGCCGGGGCCCAACGGCAGGGAAAGGCACATGGCCCCCACCGGGTGGGGCTGGGGCAGAGTCTGTTAGGAGCAGGGCCCATCTCACCGCTGGGGCACGGAGCGGGCCAGTGAGAGGCTAAGGGACAGGGCTCTTGGCTCCAGGGGCAGACAGTCCAGACATCAAGAAATGAGGGGGGGTCTAGGGGTTCTGCAGACTCCCCCTCCGCCCCCCATGGGCAGGGGCAGCCTGCACAGGGATGGACAGACGGACGGACTGCGGGGATTAGTGCACCTAGAAACGAGGGCCTGATCCTGGGCACCTGGCCCCACGCAGCAGGAGGCCGGCTGGTCCCCTCACAGCATCGCCCAGTGCATCAGTGCAAGGCCCAGCTCAAGGCCTGGGAACCAGTGGGGTCTCACCCCGCCCCCAAGCTTGGCACATCACAGCAGTTAATCCTGGGCCACCCAGGGCATGTGTGGGCAAGTGGCCAGCAAGGCAGGGCTAGCCCAGTCCCAGGCTCGGGCCTGACCCCATCAGCCGGGCTCCGGTCACCCCAGGGGGTCATTTGGTGCTTTGTGGCCTGAGTGTGTGTGGAGCCCAGAGCCAGGGGCAGGGAGCAGGTAGGGGGGCCAGGAACCCGCCCCAGAGGGGAACAGCCCCCTCGCGCTGTGCGCGCTCAGCGGGGCCGTTCCCAGGCCGAGCCCGGTGCTTTCAGAGGGGTCTTTGTGTTCCACCCCCAGCGGCCGGACACCAGCTCCCGCTCTACCGCCTGCGGCCCCGCTCAGAGCGACGTCTCCTGCAGGATGTAGGTGTGAGCGCCCTCCGCCCTGGCAAAGCCCTCGCCCTCCGCCTCCTCCGCACAGGCCTGGCCCCCGATGGGGCCATTCAGCATCCCATTACCGGTCTTCTCCGGGGCCTGGGGCGCCGGCTCCACACAGCTCCCATCCTGCGCAGGGAGAGACGAGGGTGAGAGGGGGACTGGGGTCTTTCCCCGCTGGCAGGCACTGGCTCCTAGCTGGTCCAGGGGGCAGGAAATAGGCCATGGGGCTGGCCCACGGACCTGCTCCCTCTACCCCTGCCAGCCACCAGCTGCCTTTGCTCCCAGCGTTCAGGACAGGCCCTGCTCGAGGTCTGGACTCGGGCCAAATCCCGGGGCTGCTACTGCCTGGAACAGCCAACGCCTCCCAGCCTCCTTCCAACTCGCGGCCGCCCGCCCACCCTGCAGGGCCCCACCCTGAGCCGCCGGCTCTAGCCCCGTGGTTAAAGCTCCCAGGCCCGAGCCAGCTCAGAGCGCAGCAAGGCCCGGCTGGCTTCCTGGAGCGAACGTCTCCAAGCTCCGGCCCAAGCTGCATTGGGGCGAGGCCCTGGGATGGACCCC